ATGAATGCAAACGCCGATTTAATGTGCGTCTATGGAAGGTCTTCACTGATTGTTTTAACTGTCTCCCTGTGGCTGCGCTAATTGATGATAAAATATTATGCATGCATGGTGGCCTCTCTCCTGATCTGACACATTTAGATGAGATAAAGAGCTTGCCCCGTCCTACTGATGTACCGGATACAGGTCTGCTATGCGACCTACTTTGGTCAGATCCAGGAAAAGACGTTCAAGGTTGGGGCATGAATGATAGGGGGGTCTCATACACTTTTGGTGCTGACAAAGTTTCAGAATTCCTGGAAAAACATGACCTTGATCTTATTTGCCGGGCACATCAGGTACAATTTTAATGCAACATCTTTTCCTTTCAGTATTTTTTTTGGTCAACTGAGGTGATCATATTTATATTTCATGTGATGTCAGGTTGTTGAGGATGGATATGAGTTCTTTGCCGACAGACAACTTGTCACCATATTCTCAGCTCCAAACTATTGTGGTGAATTTGATAATGCAGGTGCAATGATGAGTGTTGATGAAACTTTGATGTGTTCTTTTCAAATTCTTAAACCTGCTGAGAGAAAAGGCAAATTTATGGCATCAAACAAAATGTGAAATGGTGAAGCCCATTTCGCTCATAGCGACTCTGAGGTCAGTTGCATTACCTTGTTCCATAAGTTTGCCATATAGTTTGTGTGGCTTGAAAATGTAACATGTTTACTGTGTGCTGCATTTAACTATTCACTTGAAAAGTTTTAAAATGTATGGTGTATTTGCTCTATGTTTGATGTAGTAATGTGTATCATAACTTACAACTAAATTTTATTTTATAAGTATGTTAAGTTGTTCTTAGTTTTTCTTATAGTTTGTTGTATGTGTTGGCCTTGATATTTCTCTCCGGAGTAAAATTGGCTCTACCTTATAGGCCATACCTGTATCAGAATTTTATCCCAGTAGCATATGGTACACAAAAAAAAAGCTACCTGTCCATGGAGAGTAAAAGAATTGATTAGGTGCTTTGTTCTCCATTGCTGATGTTATGCAGGTAGGAATACAAAATAGATCCCTAGTCGCCTCCGCGCAAATCTATTTTGTATGTATTACACTAGTTGAGTAGTCATTATCTTTTGAGTAGTCGTTAGTACTCCCTTCAGTCGCAAAAACATATAATGTATTATTCATGATTATACTTTGTTTTGGAAAATTGCTAGCAGAAAATTACTTGTTCTACACTAAGCAATATAATAGTATTGCTAGTGTTTTTCCACCAATAACATTTTCCAGAATAAAATCCTTCAATTGTATTGTGCACAATCTTGTGGAGTACTCCCTCTGTCCCATAAAAAACCAACCTAGTACCGGATGTGACACATCCTATTACTACGAATCTGGACATATGTCGTACTAGAATATGTCACATCCGGTCCTAGATTCATTTTTTATGGGATGGAGGGAGTAAGCAGAAAGACTATGCTGGTCGCCTTGTTGACAATCGCCATACCAGGTCAAGTTCATAGTGCCTACTTTGAGTTACAAATTGTAACCTTGGAATTTCATTAGGTTATTGGTTTGGTTCACCAGCAGGTGTTATGCACTCAGTGAATATGAATAGAATAATTTAGGAGCCCTTCAGACGATACAGTTGTTAATTTATGGTTTTTTATTAAAAAAACACTATTTTTTGTCCTTTTGATATAATTATTGATTGAAATAATCTTATCTGGGCCTGTAACTGTGAGTTGTGACATCATAGTTGGAAACATAATTTGGCAATATAATGTGTGGAGAGAAACAACTGCAAATCGGGCCCACCACCAATTTTGGGAGAATATTTCACATATACAACCATAACTCATTTGCAAGAGCCTAGCTCATCATGTAAGTAGGCTGGTGCAGTCGTACGGCAAATGTTCTGCTTGTGTTAGGCAGATAATCAACCATCACAAATGTTCTGCTCGTGTTAGTCAGATATGATACTGCAAACATCATTTTATGGTTTCAGCTGGTTGGCGCTTAATTATGATCATGTCTACTGTAGGCTGTCCTGTGGATGCATCTAGACATCAACGTGCAGGCGTTAGGCTTGAAGCAACATTGGGCTAATTCTACCGGAGAAGCCAAATAATATCATATCTAACAGTTGGTCTGGAAGGTTACTCTTCATGGCAAGTGCCAATTTTTTTTCCATTTTCTGTTATGATGCGTGAAACTATCTTGTAGATGTAGATATATTGATTATGGAAGGATGAAGTTGCCAATTGACCTGAGGCGGTTTCCTTCTGCAGCCAGGAAAAATCTGAATATGGAGTTTCTGTTTGGTAGTTTCACTATTTAAAAGCACATGTATCACTTGTATGGAGGTAACAACTTTACTTATGCAAGCCCGTGTTTTCTGTTGCTTGTAAGCAAAATTGGATGAGTTTTTATCTTGTTTTCTATAGCGTGCTAATATTGCCAATGGCAACAATTTGCGAACTGCAATTCTAGAATGTACTGGATGATTGAACCTTTAAGCATTTGCGAACTGCAATTCTAGAGTCTAGAAGTCCTCTGGAAAGGCTAATGAATGGTTTATCCTGTAAACTGGACCAGCTTGACAGGTGCTGCGTGATCTACATTGTATACTTATTTTGTCATGGTGTTTCCTTCCATGTGTCCCACTCAATGTTTAGGCTGCGTTCTTTTCAGGCTAGTCGGCCTCGTTTTCCGTTAGCACGCTTTTCAAACTACTAAACGGTGCATTTTTCTGTAAAAAGTTTCTATACGAAAGTTACTTAAAAAAATCATATTAGTCCATTTTTTTTAAAAAGAATAGCAGATACTTAATTAATCATGTGCTAATGGATCGCTCCGTTTTCCGTAATCACTGTTGAGAAGAAGAAAGAACGCAGCCTTAAACAGCAAACGTGGGTGAGCCTTGCATCTGTCGTGGGAGGCTGGGTGGTGATTTCTTTGCCAGACTCCAGATTCTTATGCCAGCTATACCATGATGCACGTGTCTTCACCTGTCAAATTCTGCCCGTATGGAGTGTCACTTTACCTAAAATGAGAATAAATAAAAGCCACTAGTACGTTGTATACTACTCCTTCTGTCCAAAAAGAAAAAAAAGACAATCCCTCCGTCCAAAAAGAAAAAAAAGACAACTTTTAGGTTTATGTGTCCAGCGTGTTTCCGTGTTCAGCGTTTGATCGTCCGTCTTATTTAAAAAAAATTAAAAAGACAAGTCACGTATAAAGTATTAATTATGTTCTATCATTTAACAACAATAAAACACTAATTATAAAAAAATTTCATATAAGACGAACAGTTAAACGTTAGACACAGAAACCCAGGGTTTTTCTTTTTTTTGGACGGAGAGAGTACTCTCCAACAACCCAGGGTTTTTCTTTTTTTTAGACGGAGAGAGTACTCTCCAACGGAGATTTTAGGGAGATAGTACAATCCAACTAATCCTTTATATTTTTGGGATGGTGGGAGTAATAAACTGAGTTGTAGCTGCTCACCATCCATACCTGCATAGTATCATCTTCGTACCTAGGATTACCTCCATCCCAAAATAACAAAGGACAATGAGTTTATGTACGTGAATGTGGACATAATGAGTTTATTTATTTCGAAACGGAAGGAGTATTAAATCATCGAAAGTGCTACACATAGGCCTTGTAACCTATGATCCGATACATATGAATATCAAATCTGGTACCAATAGGTATCAGAATTGGAAGATTTGGTACCCTATGAATATCTATCTATGGGCTTGTTCGGCTGCCCTATACCACGGCTGTACAGCAGCGGCAGCTGCCACCATATATCTTCGGGCCTGTTCACTTTGATGCTATTTTCAAACATAAAATTTTTTTTGGTAAAATTGCTAAAATTTTGGCTACTTTTAGTTTGTTGTCAAATTTGGTAAATACATAAGAAGTCCTGCCAAAATTTTGGCAATATTGTCATCTTGTCAAAATTTTAGTATTGCTAAGATTTATTTTGGCTACAACCTAAACATGCTCTTCATTGTATTATACTGTGGCTGGCTGTCCACTAGCAGTACCGAACAGACCCTGTATTTCTAACGTCGGTAGTTCTGCCGGCTTGTGATTGGTGGATGTGGCAAGCAATAGTTTGTTGACACGTGTTGCTTCTCCTCTCTCCCAATTTGTGTGAATTGTATGACAAGCCGGTTCAAAAAAAAAGAAAAATAAATAAATTCTAGAGACTATTGAGTGTCAACATAACATCCAGATCCTTCATATCCTTTCAATCTGGTTTGATCCAACAACCAATTCAATGAAAAATCTAGAAGCGAACTAAAGGGGCAAAATCCACCAGGAACCAAAAAAAAAAAAGTATCTACCACCTCTCAGACAGAAAAGAGTCCACCTGAAACCAGAGCCCTATGGTAACCTCGAGCTGCCGACACGAGCGATCTGGTTTGAGGTGGCTTGTTTTATCGTTAAATGAATTTTAAGTCTGATTTATATTTTAGCATATTTACCCTATTTTTTTATAAATTGAATGGTCAAACATCATGTTAAAAGTCAATGGTGTCCCTTCATCCAAAAAAAAAAAAACTTAGGTAAGTATGGTAAACAATCTAATGACAACGAATCTGACAGCCACCTATCCGGATTTGTTGTCTTAGGAATTTAAAATGCATTAAAAGAGGTCAGTTTAAATGTTTTTTCTTTAAAAATACAATCTACTACATGTTAAATTCAAAACTAAAACCCCACAAGAGGTTCTTCCAAATGTATGGTCTTTGTAGAAATTTAATTTGAATTGAATCAATTCTCAAATAAAATGTTTTAGAATGGACTGCAAAGATGACGACGCCAACAAGCACGTCAGATTTGTTACCCTATGAATATCATCAATTTGTTGTAGGTTTTGTACTTAACAGGCGCCAATACCTATATGTACCAATCTAGTACCAACAGGCATAAGACTTAATACCTAGGAGTACTACTTATATCATACCATCGTACCGTTCCAGAACAGAAAACCGTGGTATAACAGCCCCCTTAATAGTTTTAATTTCAACACAAGCAAATCTGATTCCAAAGTCCGGTGGCGGGTGTACTCGTTCATTTGTTACTGCCCCCATTTCCAATATAATACAACAGTGAACCGAATGTACACGTACAACAATGTTGACTATAGTTGATTGTAACTCTACAAATGATCGTTACTTGCTGTAAGCTCTGCCTTTTGTGTGTAGGCAGGTAAGGGGGGAAAATAATCGGTCATCCAAAATTACTGGATCGTTGCATATGTTTCTTGTTTCATTTTCATTAAGTTGCTCTCTATGCCTCTTAACACAGGTCTATATCTGCATAAGTGATGGCAACAGTTAAATTTCACCAAACAGAGGGGAAAATAAAATGCAGAATCGGACAAACAATAATAGTATACTTACAGGCGTGCGAGGTTATTCTGCGCTTGCACCGCTTTTCTGAGTTCAGCTGAAAGTTTCATTATTTCTGCCGACAACCCCTCGGATCTGCTCTGTTCTTTGATGAGCTGATCCTGTAGACAATGAAATATGCAGTTGTAAACCAATGACATGACAATAAATAGATTTGACTAGTCATGGTATAGACAAGAAAATATTCTCGACAGCTCCAGCAATCAACCTTTAGGGAGAGATTCTCAGTTACAAACTCTGGCGGGAATGAAATGCTGGTCTCGTTCTGCCCATCTGGCTGGATAGTGGTATTACTTGTTTTCAATAGAGTAGCTTGCTCAAGTCTTAACTTCTCTAAGTGAGAGCGTAGCTCTTCATTTTGCTTGAGACAATCTTTTACCTGGAAATTGTGATTAATTGAACACGCAAGATGCTGGTATCATCCATAAATGATAAATGTTTGTCTCTCCATGCATGAAATGACTGATAACAGCACACCTGGTTTTCCCATTGCATTGTAACAGCTACAGCTTCTTGGTATGAAGTAGACAAGGCTGAGTTCTCCTCAAACAGCTTTTCTATTTCTGATGATTGAGAATCAATCTGTCAAACACAATCCAAAACTTAGCCAGCTCATTGGGAACTTATTTTGTTCAAAGAAAAGGAAGGCAGCATCAAACACCTCCATTAACAACTTTTGGCGGCTGCCCTCTAGCCTCTCAACCATCAAAGCCATATCATGCAATTGGCTTTCAAGTTTTTCCCTATCTTCCTGCATAATTAAAAAATGGCCAGTACAGTTTAAGATTGATTCGAGCCCAGCAAGAAGATTACGGCGAACACTTAGCATTACAAGTTTCTAATCACCCCTGAAAATTTTGAATTAAGACAAGGGCATTCAGGCTTACAGGTGTCCACCTAGCCTGTTGTAATGCAAGATCTCATCTCAGTTTTACTTTTGAGTCCTTGATAACTATGGACTAACACATGAAGTATTTACCTTGGCAAAATCTTAACTCATGGAAAAACAAAAAACTTGAAGTTTGTTCGATACATTACCATTGAAAATGCCTTGCGTGCAGCAAATTCAGAAGCTTCATCTGCATGGTAGGGGAAACTTATTTCATGCAGTTTACCAGTAAAATATGGAATATCTGAAGGAACGGAAAGCAGAGCAGCATGACAAATGTGGAAGTAAAAGACTATGCTGAATGGCACGTTTACTAGAGATAGAGTACCCTATATGAAGCTACAAAATATGTTTCATATGCACCTGATGCTTTCTTCGTCAAGGCAGCAATTTTTTCTTCCAACTCTTTCTTTTCCGCAACCAAGGAAGCAGCATGAGACTGTTCTCCAGTTAGCTTTTGTTGCTCTTGTTGCCTTAATAGGGACTCTTCAGAAAGTTTCTGTTGCTCCTGCTGCCTTAGCAATGATTCTTGCTGCATTAACCATTTTATATGTTAGTTTGCTTAGATAGAATAATCAATAATAAGGACAAGCATAACACTGAAGCAAGACAAAATGACCTACCTTCAGCTGAGCCTGCAAATTTTCTACCTCCTTTTCCATAGCAAGAATGTGCTCATTTGATACACCAACTGGAAATCCAGTATAAGAGTTGCTCATTACTTGCTGCTGCAGGGTATTTAACTGTGCTCTCAATGATGCAGAGTCCTCTTCTGCCTGTAAATCATAAGATTAGCACACTAATGATATGACTAAGGATGCACAATTTTTCAAAATACCCTGTATTGCTCCTCTTCTGCCTCCTTCAGTCGTTTCTTCATGCTCCTTAGTTGTGCGAGAGCATCCTCCTACTTAGCATACCAGGTAGAAGTGATAATGGGGATTAGACATATCAGAATCGTGAATACCATAAACACGAAGACAGTCAAGTACCTTAGCAACAGCTGCGGCATCTTTCTCCAAAGAAATGTCATTCACAGCCTTTTTCAAGGAGGGTACTATATTCCGCTCCTGCAAACAGCGAATTAATCCCCAAAGTAAAACGCGTGCAAAATGTAAGCCATATGCATCAAACTGCAACACAAGTACCAAATTAAAATGCACAATATGAAACTCACAAGGTCGTTCAAGCGGTTAACGAGGGAATCCTTCTCGACTTCCTTCTCAGCAATCTAGACGAAGCTATGCTTTGTTAATACTACTTCATCCTTCAGGTAACTGTACCACAACAATACTGAACTGCAGAGAAAATACCTTGGATAACAGCATTTGGTTTTCCCTCTCCAATGCTATGTTCCCATTTTCAAGTTCTCTAACTCGACCAAGAAGCTACCATTCATACCAAAAGCCTTAGTTATAGTCTAGAAACAACATGAGAATTTGGATACGTACTTGCCACGATCAATGTTCATCCGAACTATTCGACACAAAGGAAAGGGGGGCAAACCTCAGCTCCGGCTCCTGGGTTCCCTACAGAAAACAATCGCCATTAAGCCCACAAGATTAGCACTGAACTACGAACTGTTCCAGGGGAAGAGAGGGATGGACCAACCGTAAGGGTCGACAAGGGACGCCGCGGCGGCCGGGTTGTGCTGCTGCTGCATCCTCTCGGCGGCTCTCTTCTGCCGGATCTCCTCCAGCTGCCAGACAAACGCGCACACAAACCCCAACACAAATTTGAGCCTCAAATCCCAGATACAAACGAGACGCGGATCTGAAACGCCTCGCGTCACAGAGAAGCAGGAGGGAGAGGAGAGGAGAGGCATACGGTGCGGCGCCCCCGCGAGGCGTGATTGGCTTCCATCTCCGGCGACCGGCCGACGAACCGGTCGGCTTTCTGGAAGCTCGGGATCCGGAGGCGCGACGCGAAGGAGGATGGCCGATGGCGGGGGCTCCTCCGGTATCGCCTCGATCCTGTGATGCCCGGAGAAGAGAAGGGGAAGAAACCCAAACTCGTGGGCCTAGCCAACGTGTTGGCCTTCTAGAGTTCACAAGCCGGCCCGTACGAGCCCGATCGGGCAGGTTATTCAGTACCCCCATGCGTTCCAAAATGGAGTAACACAATCCTGAACAGGCATTTTATCTATGTACATAGTTAAAATTAGTTTTTTCATCCTAAAAATAATCCAATCCTAACGAAGAATTTGAACATACATTTCATATCTTGTCTAGATATTTAGTCTGAATTGTTTTTTCTTCAACGGAGGGTGATATATGAACACGACAATGTACTCACTCCGTTCTCAAATAATTCATGCGGATACTATTCAATTTAAACTTTAATTAACTGTCATTTTTATAGATAATTTATAAATTACTAGAAATGTAATTATATCATCAAAATGTGTGGCATTACAAATATAACCATCAACCTTTCTCAAATTCTTTTCTTCTTATTACGTCGTGTAACAAAATTCTTTTCTTGTAATATACTGACGTGCAATTATTTTGCGCGTTCGCGAAAAATAACCATCAACCTTTCATTTATAGTAATATAATCACTTAAAACTTTCATTTATAGTAATATAATCACTTAAAAGTGATTTATGGTCAAAGCAGGATGGCTCTAGTAAATTGTCAGTTATTTGTTTTAGTTGTGTCAGTTATTCAAGAAGGAAGAGAGTATTATCCACTCCAGTCAAATCTATTGGGTGCATTGGTGGCGGAGAAAAAACACACACACAAATTCAATTCATAATTAACAGGACTTGGACAAGTTAGACAGCACAACTCAAAATCAACGATGACTTGGACAACATATGCAGTGTAAAAGCCCAAATTTTAATGAACAAACCATCGAGGTAGCAGTCTGCTTTACATGTCCACAAACGACCATGGTCGGGCCTTCAGCTGCCAACCTGAGCTGCCTGATAATCAGGCGTACCATGCAAGCACACCGAGCTCACGTTACAGTAGGCAGTTTGGGCAAGTTACACTGGATTTTTCGCTACTTCTCCCTAATCGGAGCACGTTCTCAGACATGACATATCTTACACGCCCTCGTTTGGGCCAACGAATATATGTACAGGATGAAAGAATATTGTACAGGTGAGCGGTCAGTGCCGCTGGTATTGCAACGGGACGAGCCTAGCGTTAACGGCTTCAATGTATGTGCGCAGGCGGCGTCGATCATCTCTTGTTAGGGACAGAGCGGGGTTCAGGGCGAGTGACGGTGCCTCAGTCAGGAGAAAGCGCAGCATGGATACTGCCTTCGAGTACAGCACCATGGCAGATGCTGATTTCCCCATCATCTCATCAACCTGCAATTTAGCATAACAAAACACACAAAAAGAGTGGGATAAGAGTGCACACCAAGCTTTCGTTCTGCTATGTAAGACAGTGTGCTTGATATTGACTTACACCACCATGTCTTCCCAGGTTAAGCGCGGTCTGAAATATGATTTCTATCGCATCTGGCATTTCTGTAGCATCTGCAAGCATAAGCTCACAATCAGCAATTCAGCATTCAAGAAGTTCAACCAACGATTTAAAGCTCCTAGGCAAGGTAACATACCAACTGTCTGTCCTATAGTGTTGGCAAGTTCTTCAGCATATTCCATTTGAACCAAAAACTGACTCTCTATCTCCATGCATGTATCATATAACAGTTGAGAGTTTGCAAGCAAATGGGGAGCATTTGAGCCAAAACCCTTCGCGGTGACATCATGGGAAGGATTCTCTCTTGTGGCAGAAGATGCATAAGAAGTGCAGATGTAAATTGCTTGCTTCCAGGTTGCAAGAACAACTAGCTGAATCGAGAATCCCTCTAAGTGCTTGGCATCTTTAATCTACAAAAGTTTGGGTGGTTGATCAGCAAAACAAAAGCATGGTTAGCATTTGCAATTGCATAGATAAAGACTTGTCTCAGGCAGATGAATGAAACACAAGACCTTAGTTTATATGGTAAATAAGCTTCACCACAATGTTTTGGACAGAGAATCCAAACATATCAAAAGGATGAGAACTTTGGTCAATGTTAAACAGAAGGAAGTCAAATAGGAGGCAAGGAAATTTGAGTCCACTGAGAAGAAAGTTACCTTTTCTTTCACCAATTCTGCTATGGTAGACGCATACTGCTCCAATAATCTAACCCTGGTCAGACAATCAGATGGTGGTTGATCCATAGCATCGTTGAGATCTGCAGATCCTTGTGAAGTACCAGATACTGGAGAGCAGTGACTGTCCAAGCTACCAGTTCCACCAGATTGCTGTCTGTTAATTGCCATGCCATGTATTGGCCTTGGTGCACTCACAGCAGTTAATAACTTCGGTGGTGAAAGAGAAGAACTGTCAAGTTTTGATGGCATGGTGCGCTGTCGGGAGTCATTCATCGAAGAGGAGGATCCCTCTGGGTGCACAAAGACATATTCCTGATCTACAAACTCTAATGAATCAATGATAGGGGAATCTACATTTACAAGTAAGGAAATAACAAATTTAGTAAGAACTTTTTCACAATTATAATGAAACATGTGATAGTCACAACAGACTGCAATACCTTCTGGATAACCACCTTTAGGGTTGTGCCCTTCATCACCCTTGTTTTCCTTGATTCTCCTAGGATGGTCCAGGCGTTGACTACTAGATGCGTAATTATTTCCCCTAATATATTTAGAGACCAGACTTGAATGTTTCGTTGGACTCTGACCTGAAGTTTTATCAAGCCTTTTACTCGTGGCAAACCCATAGGATTTTATTGCACTCTTACTATCAGAAACAGGACCTTCATCCTGTCCAGTTGACTCATCATCCAAAGGAAAAGGCATACAATCTTCCTGAGAACTTTGGCTTGAAGGTCTCGTAGGACTGCTATTAATGAATGGAAAGCCATCTCTTATGTCCGATGGTGTCCGGCTGTCAATGCAATACAGAATATCAAACATGTCACGTGATGCTGTAGAAGTAAAACTATAGCAAAGAATATATTACCTCAAGGTTCTCTCCAAAGCATGTTCAGCGAGAAATGGATGGTTCACAAACTCTTCAACGGTAAGGCGTTCCACTGCATTAATATTGGCACAGAATCATTAAGTATTAATTCTCACTTGTAACGTCAGCATAACAATAATCATGTAAAGTGATAGTTAATCTGCTACTTTTGAACAAACTTAAGTTGCTTTATAAGTGCGACAGCCCACAGGGTTTCAGGATTATGACAGACAGTAAGCAGTGGTATAAACTGATCGAGTGAAGAAACCATACAACTGCAATGGCTTCTAACACATTGTTGATCAGATAAACTACTGAGAAGCAACCAAATATATAAACTTCCTTGGGTGCAGCATAGTTCATGAGTTGTGTCCTGCTGCATGCCATGGAGTGTAACATATTTCCTGCAACAGCTTTATACACGCAGAACCTTTTTTTTTTCTAGCACGAATAAATCTCTAAGCTGTCTTCATGTAAGACATACTGATTACAAGACTACATCTAGAAGGTCACATGTGAATAATATAGGTGAGAAAACAGGGACTAATTACAATGTCACCCACCCAAGTCTACTCTTGCATGATAGTCATTCATGTTTTTCTTTGGCGTAATATCAGTCATGTCACAGTATAATTCTGGAAAATTTTACCCTTCCTGGTAAGGATGTAAGAAAAAATAATGACATGTGGAAGTCTTATGAAACTTGTTTTTATATATAACTATACATAAGTGTAGCAGAGGATTCGTACCTGAATTGATTCGCAGTAACTTTCTGCATAAGTCAATGCAGCCATGGCTCAAGTCGCAATCAGATGGAAATCGTATTTCTCGTGTATTGAGTATATTTCTCAGCAACTGATGGGAAATAACATTTTTCAGTAGTAGCCTGATTTAATAATGCACTAGAAATCAGGTCATGTGGAAAATTTGAATAAACCTGGATTTGACTATCCCCGGTAAAAGGAGGAGATCCGGTAACAAGTTGATATAGAATTATACCAACACTCCACAAATCTGCCTGTTCTGTCAGAAATCGGGCATGAAGCACGAGTCAAGAACAGGTAAAAGTACATGATAAAGCTCACAAGGAAGCAGAAAAAAGCCCTGACCTTTGCATCATACTTCTGAGCTTGCATGACTTCTGGAGCCATGTAAAGCGGTGAACCGCAAAGTGTTTCAGCCAGAGAAGAAGGTTCTAAAAACCTGCTTGCAAGAATAGAAAAGGTAAGTACACATTTCTGATACTATCCGCGTCTAACCCTCCCACCAAGCCTCACTTGATCCAACCATCGATGAATGAGAAGCAGAGAGAAAGCTGAGGTGCCAATTTTGTCATGGCTGTAATTAAATATGCAAGGAAGCAGAGAAACACAGGATCAAGCACAAAGCAACATGATCTTATTCTCTTTCCCTGCACGATACTTATCTAGTTGTCCTCAAGAATGTTTCGTACTTAGCTTTTATGCACAGATTTTTGTGTAAAACTCTGTGTGAATTCAAAGGACATTACATTACGGAGTAGGACTGTTCAATAAAAAAAAGTAGAATTGAGTGTAGAGAATTAATTGGACTCAAGATAGCTTTTTTTTTTGTAACAATGATAGCTTAATTGGAGTAATACATATGCGACATAGGTGTATTGGTACATGAAATATTTTTTTGTAACAATGAAGGCATGCTGTAGTTGTGGAGCCAAATCCTGAAGGGGGCCTAAAAAGTGATGCACATAATATTTCATTCTTTAAATGGAATGTCTCTAACATCTTTCAAGACATGAAGATGAGACTTTCAAATGATGCACCTTTTCTTTTGAAATAGTGCAAATTGACTGTATTTTTTTCAGAACTTCTTGAGAAGTTATTCCATTTTAAAATGCACAACACCGTTTCTTTCACAATACTGCAATTTCATTTCAGGTAGGAGCGATTTCTACAGACCTATTAGGGGATTCTTAAACCAGGTATCAAACTCATTGCTGATAAACTCAATAAAAAAGGCCATGTGGAAAATAAGATAATATAACTCCAAAATAAAAGCAATCAAACATAAGTAACTTACTTTGCAAATCCAAAGTCCGCAATCTTCAAGAGGGAATTTTCATTATTTGCAACTAGAAGAATGTTCTATTTGAACAGCCACAAATTCAGGATAGAAAACAAAACAAAATGTCAGGAAATTCCGTTTCTTTCATCAATTCTTTGTCATTAAATATGAAGATATAATGGAAATATCCACTCAATAACAGTAAATTAAATAATTTAACCTGTGGTTTTAGATCTCGATGAACCACGTTGTTTTCACGCAGCATCTGCAGACCAGATGCTGCATAAAGAAGAGAATGTGATTTTGGCTCTGGGGAGAGATAAAGCAATAAATAGTGCAAGACACTGAGGGTCTGAGAAAGTGCTTGCCTAGCTGCTGGATGAAATGCTTAGCAACTGTTTCAGAAACCCTTTTATGCTGCTGAAGGTATGAGTGTAAGTCACCACCTCGACAGTACTCTAATACAAGATATATTTTCCCACCATCCTAAAATCATCAAATAACAAAGAGATACGCAAATAATAGTTAGATATGAGAGTGAAGAAATAATTATGTCCAACAATCTCCCTAGAGGGAAGCTTCCCTTTCGTGGAACACCTAGAAATATTAATATCGGAGGCATAATTAAACATGTTAGGTATGCTTTTGAACTCTAAGGAGGGAACAACTAATGGTATAGTTTCCTAAATTCCACCAGAAAATATATCCAAAACAAACAAGTTACCAAATTTGGAATTTTAATGTTTTGCTTCCACAGCCAGCGAACAAACATCCAAAGTTAAACAACTTACGCTATGGTACTAGCATTAAGTTAAAACTTTGCATAGTATCACCACCCAAATGAACGTCAAGCCCAATGAGTTCTCCTTTGCTTGAGGCATCTGAATACCAAGAAAGCTCAGAAGAATTCAACTAAAAGAGAGACTATAAGAACTCCCGATTTTATTCATCCGAGGTTTATAAACAGTCGCCGTCCGCATGAAATCCTAACAAATCGAACGCAATTGCGCAAAATATAAACAGTAGAAGGGCGTTGATCCGAGGATCGGGGTACCCTGATGGACTCGTGGAGGGCGATGACGTTGGGATGACGGATGCGCCGGAGGATGTCGACCTCGGAGAGGAGGCTCTCGCGGAGCTTGCTGCTAAGCCGCTCCACGGCGATCTCCTTCAAGGCCACCTCCGTGCCCCGCGTGCGGTGCTTCCCGAGCCAGACCCGCGCGTACGCCCCCGACCCGATCTGCCGCACCAGCACGTAGTCCCCTACCCTCCGCACGCCGCTTCCTCCCCCTCCCCCGCCGCCGCTCCCCGCGGCGCGGTCCCCCATCCCCTCTGGTCCCGCTGCCTGGAGCGCAGTTCGCCGCGAAGGACGTGAGCTCCGCCGCCGCCGGGAGAGATGCCGCCGCGGCCGCGGGGAGAAGCAACCGAATTATCTCGCCGCGCGGAACAGAGAGAGAAAAGGGGAGGAGGGCCAGGTCTCTACTCGCGGCGTATGGTTATCCCTTTCCGCTGGTTTTATAAAGATTCCTCCGTCTTTTGCAAGATTCTCCTGATGTGCCCATTTATTTTGGCCGAAAAAACGATATAGTATCTGCATCATAACGTTTTTAAGTACTACCCCACAGTAAGTAAGTCGTTTACAATAATGTTTAAATCAAACCTTGGAAATATAAATCATGAATAACTCTCAAGTTGTTGAGTTTGAAAAATGTAAAAATTATATGTATAGATTTGTCTTGAAAAATACTTTCATAAAAGTATACATATATCACTTCTCAATAAATTTTTTTATATAAATAAGAAGTCAAAATTGTGTTTTAGAGACCGTGTCACTGTCCTAAACAACTTACTTTTACGAGTATGAGTATGGAGGTTCTAGCATGCTTTATTGTTTCTTTTTTTCTCACAGAATTGTCCCATAATATTCAGTAATATTCAGGAGTATGGAACAATTTGACATTTTGTGTAGCAATAGTAATCTGGTCATGGCAGCTGCGAAATTCTAGGCTTGGATTGAATCTTTGTGTAAGTTGGATTTCTCCTGAAATCAGTTTGGCATATTTTTGGTGTAGTTGGTGCGGACCGGATGAAGACAGAAAAATGCCATGATGCGTCGAATGGGGGGTCAATTGCTACCACAAGCAAGACGACGCATCACGTCACAGCTTTGCCGCTGTTGCGGCTACTCTCATATAGAAAACCTAAGTCCCAGAAGGCAAGTTATTTTCTATCAAGTGGCACACAGGATGACAGGAATACAAGGATACAATGATCATTTTTAATTGGAAAAGGAGCAGCAGCACGCCAACAAAAATGGTTGTGAAACACCAGACAAGATATCTTTAAAATTGTGCCAAACTCGGGAAGCAACAGTAAGCTTTACATTACACAGGCTACATGAAAAGACAGCATTGGTAATCACTTCAACTGCCGCACATTTACAATTCCAAGATATGATGCATTACAGTAACTGATGTCTGATGGACACTCCACAATTGTGAAGGAGAATTGCAATACCAGTGTACCACCATAGCAGAAAACAAGAATCACCCTTGTCTGTTCAGTCCTTCGTAGTTTTGGAGCAAAAGATAATTGCGTTACGTAGTTAGTTCCCCAAGCCAAGTTCCCTGGGCTGTTAGTTGGCATTCTATTGTCATTGACAACAGCGTGGGAAGAAATGACTGTCATTCCTGGAGCCTCCAGCCAAGTTCCTTGCATTGCTGTTCATCAGGCTGCAGAGTATTCGGTATGGCACCAAAAACACAACGGGCCGTTTCAAACCCAGAAATCGCATTATGAAAAAATGCCGACGCCTCCTCCATGTTCTTCTTCAGTTCATCTGGAGATATATACATGAAATACTGGGGAGAGGGAGAATGCTGCTTGATAGACATGATTGGTGCAATATCAGCAACCCTGACAAATCTCTCTGTTGCTGCCTCCCAGGAAAGCTCATGTCTCAGTTCCTCTGACAGTGGGATTGGCTCTTCAGCCAATGCTTTCATAGTCAATCTCACAAACTCTTTCTCAGTATTGTACATGTGGCAGTTAGGAAACCTTTTGAAGAATTCATTCGAAGGATGGTTTGCACATATCACAATTTTCCCCATCGCCAAAGCTTCTGCAGTTGTCGTGCATACCACATCTGTGGTGCTTGGGTTTATGAAAACCTTGTAGCTGAAAAGGAGATAACAAAATTCAGTTAGATCATAAGTAAATCAATAACATAAATCACTTCTAATAAAAACATAGCCCAAAATACAATCTAGCAGCTAAATTGCTTGTGAATAACATTTAAACCATTACTTTTCTGCTAAGTACTCACTCATGAAATATGGAATCTCCATGGTCACGACCAGGATAGACTCGAACATCAAGATTTAGTTTCTCGGCTGATGCTTTAACCTCATCAGAATCTTCTCCACTGCCATACAGCTCCATCTTAAGACCAGATAATTCCTTCTGGTGCTTCTGAAGCAGCTGGAGTAGTTCTGTATAACCTTTACTCCAGACCATCTTTCCAATATAATATGCACCCTTGAAGAATGCTTGTTCTCTTTGAGATATCTGCTGATGCTTCAGTTTACCAATTTCAATAAATTTTGGATTTACTCCATGGACATTGCAAACTATTGACCTTGGGACTTCCTGAGTTGCTGCTGATAATCTTATAACCTACAAAAGAAATAACAATGAAAGATAAAAATAAAGCACATGATTACATATCAAATTATAGACGGAAAATGCCATAACTTGATAAGAATAAATTCTCAAGCTCTCATTATTTAAATAAATATGGATACATTACAAAGGTTTTTATGCCATTCGGCATCATACTGTGCATAATATGTGGAACATCCTTAACTTTATTCAAAAAATGGCAATATTTATCTGGTCACTATGCGAACATGGTGATTCCATGCATGATGGAGGCATATCACAGCTGTTCATTTCATAGACTAATGTCATACAACAGCTGGTAATGAACTTCTAGAAGTTAGGCAATGTCACATACGTCCAAAGAGCAAAGAATCATATCCATGTTAAGAACATATTTTGCCATCAAGGATGAAGGGTATTACTGAGACAGGAGACTTATAAGGTTATATGAAGCAAATTGAGATGTTCATAGTTGAACTACTGAAAAACTTTAAAAATATGCAAACCAGCAAAATAGAATAGAAAAGAACTTCAAAAACATGCAAACCCAGAAAAATATAATAGAAATTGAAGGTGCTAACCTTATGGCAGTAGATGTCAGTGACCCAGGAATTGATATGTTTTAAGAGAAATGCATGGATATATCCATTTCTCTCTCTCTTGACATACTCCAAATAGTTGGTATGAACAACACCTATAACTTTTCTGAATTTGTTTTTCCACCTTCGTCCATGATGGTACCATGTAAGATGCTCTGGCTCTTCAAGAACTGCAATGTCTGCTTTATCATCAGATACAGTCTGGGTGATGTCCCCAGCAGGTAGAATGCTTCTTTTCTCCGTTGAGAACTGTATGGGGAGAAAATATGTCAATCAACCTCATTATGACATCACAAGAACATCAACCACATGACCACCCGCTCAACTTATACTGGCCTTTCAAGTTTTATAACACTCAGTGTCTCATTTTCTGCTCACTCCACTACCATAGATATTTCTAGTAATTCTTGTGTTGAAGGTACTAGATGCATGCATTTTTTTAAAAAAAAGAACCAACTTCTACGGTTTATTGGATTTGCTTCTCAAATCTCAACAAGAATCAGAACATACAATCCTGCTCCATTTTAGTTTTGACACTAACATGAGCTAAGAGCAACGTGTGTAGTGTGTACAACTGTATGGCCAAGCAATTTAAACTCAACTGTGTGATGAATTTTTGCGAACCATGGGAAAATCAGAAGCATCATATCAAACAAGCAATAAACCGTACCACGCCATTCACTTTGACATTACATTTAGATCATGATAATATCAGATAGAACTATACAGTACTTTGGAAATTTTGGTTTACTTTACCTTTCCAGGATAGAATTTTATCTCAAACTTCGGCAGCAGCCCAATTCGCTCCTCGAGCCACCGTCGCACATAGCCTTCTTGCTCCCCGGGCACACTGAATTTCATCTTGTTAGGATAAACCAGCAGCTGGTCCCCCTTCGAAAGCCATGGAACCACCAGCGTAACCTCCCAGTCCCCGGCCTTCGCGAGGTAGGCCGCTCGGAAGAGGGGGTTGACGGCAGTTCCAGTCATCCATGGCAGGCTCGCCGTGGTGAATATGGCGATATGCTGCTTCCTCGCCATCGGCACCGAGACCACCCCGACCGCACAAAGCTGCTGAAATGACCAACAAGCACCACCCCACCAGCCCTTAAATCACATCGCCAAAGCGTACCATTACAAGTGGCCAAAGAACAATGCCGGCATCCCGCAAAGCCGTGCCATCATTTTTCCCCCTTATCCCGCCCATACGCATGGAGAATCGAATCATCTCTTGGGGATATTTTTTTCTTTAAAGAAAAACAGAGAATCCAGGGAGCATCTAATTCGGCGCCCACCAACATGCAGCCGTGATTCACGAACACTCGGGGGGCTAAAACAGAGAGATCCAGCATGACCGCAGCATCGATCTAATTCCAACCCTACCCACCGGCGATTCAAACTCAACCCGCCCAGCTCGAGATCCTAATCGCGGTTCCAGGACAGCGCGCGGGTGGGAGGAACCCGGCGAGGGGAAGGGGAGGGGAGGAGCTGGTTACCTGTGCGATCGGCGCGGCCGCGGATGTGGATGGGAGGAGGCGGAGAGGAGGGAGAAGGGGGAGCCTGGTGCCGTGGAGTGGATGGCGTTTCAGGTTTGGCCGTTGGGTGTGGAGGTTGCCGTCACCGCTCGCACCTCGCAGTCATCCCCAACGGAACGGCACCGGGGCCCGCAGGAATCTGCCATGAGGGCCCAGATTCCCCGTGCGGTTGGGCTTGGGCCTAGAATGAGACGTGAATCTTTCGTCTCTCCATCTATTCGGTGTCTGTCTCTTGGGCCCTCCGACACATATCTTTTTTTTTTATCTTTTCCAACACATAACTTCTATCGTTTCGTTTGTGCTTGTATTTGTTCGTACTACTTAGGTTGAGTTTGAGGAGGAGGAGATTGGGAAGATACATAAAACGAGGTGAGCTATTAGCGCATGATTAATTGAGTATTAACTATTTTAAATTTGAAAAATAGATTTATATGAATTTTTAAAGCAACTTTTCTATAGAAATTTTTTGTAAAAAAATGCACCGTTTAGTAGTTTGGGAAGCATACGCACGGAAATCGAAACAAACTCACTCATTTTCTTCAGCTGCCGAACGCAACAAATTAAGAAATTATCTATAAGTAAAAAATTTATGTGTATGTACTTAGTGATTCTAAAGCAAATAGTATAAAATAAACTACGTAAAAAACACAAAATCTACTTCGGAAGGTATAAGCGAAACAATAAAGCTACAAGAGTTCCTTCAAATTTGAGCAAACTTCAAAGCAGTGAGTTGTTGCTCTATGGCAAAATCATACGTTTATATTATGGAATAAGGAGTAGAATTTTCTTGCCTCTATGTTCGGTGGATCTCGCATTCTGAAATCCAGCAACCAGTAGCAGTCTAGCAGTAGTTTTGGATAACTCAAAAAGTAAAGTACTTCTTGTTAGAATTAAATTAGCTAGGTCTAATTTAATCATAATAAATTTTATGGGTCTATAATTAATATTAAAATATTAATATCACCTTAACAACCAACGAGACCAGTATACCACCTCGAATTAAATACACACTCCGTTCCAAAATATAAATATTTTTAGAATAGTGTAAAGTCAAATATTTTTTACTTTGACTATTAATAGAAAAAATAAAAAAAGAATCAATCATGTAAAATTGATGTTACTAGATTTATCATTAAACAAACTATCATAATATGTAACTCTTTTATTTAAAAAATCTTACTTTTATAGATATTATTGGTCAAAATAGTATCTCACAAATTATGTCAAGATCCAAAAATACTTATATTCTAGGTCAAAGGTAGATAAGATCTTCCTCCTTGTCTCTTTGGTTCCATTTCTAGTTCTCCTTGGGTAGACTCTGTTGTTTTGTTTATGTGTAGCTCAGGCTTTCCACGGTTTTGTTGGTAGACTCTTGTTGTTCTGTTTTTGTGCAACTCAGGCTTTCCTCGGTTTCTGGGTATTTGCGCACATGGGTACTCGGGACGAGCAAGCCTCCGGAACTTTGTCAGTTGGAGTACCTGCATAAGTAGGCGGGCGATCAAGTTTCTGGGAGCGCTTATTCGGCGCGACTGCTTTGCTACGTCTCCATTGCTTCCTCTGCATCACCATGTCTGGGGAGAATGGCATCACCATGTCTGGGGAGAACGGCAGGAACATCGACACCAACGTCAACCCCAACACCAACACCGTCTCTAGATATGGAGTGTTCTCTGAGTATGTTGTTATATTCACTTTTGTGTTAAATATGTTACTAGACGATGCTATTCATGTTATTAGCGTGTTCATGTTTTGTACTATCAGTAGATTATCCTTTTATTGACATGCCATATTTAGCATGTTACATTTTTGAATTAAAATATACCGAATTATGACTAGATTTCTTTGACTTCAGCAGAACAACCCAAGAGGGTGTGTTTGGATAATGGGTTATAAAGAGTGGAATTGAAAATGGAAATGAACGAAAGATTGTGATGAAATCCTATTTGATATCTTCGTATCCGAGACACAACAAATTCTACTATGTATTTTTCCAAAATCTTTCGTCTTCGTTTTTCTTTGGAGGTGAGATAAATGGATGGCTAAGATTAAAAGTTTTCATTCATAGGGTGGCATTGGATGACATTTTCATAACCCATTTTCTAAACATGCCATAGTAGCAAAGCCCTTTTTAAGCTCAAGTGTCTGCAGATTCTGAATTTACTACTACTAGAGAATTTTGCCAGGTGGAGTACTAAAACTCTTGTTTTCTGTTTCATGCTCAGATGGGGAAGCTAGGAATCCTAGGAGCTTTGAGGAGTTGTTGAGGGAGAATCAATTGAGCGCTGGCCATGGAAGTCTAGCTGTAAAACTGAAACACGCTGCGGTTGGAAGCTGATAAAAGAAAGTTTCTGGTGAAGACATGTGCTTGAAAGAACAGCGTCCTTCTGTTAATTGTGGTGAGGGAATTAATTATCCAGCAGTGTTAGTGGCATGTACACTGCACACCACCACCATCATCTGCTTCCTTGCCAACATCGAGATCTTGGATCATAAGCATTCATCGCTGTCCTTTTCCTTTCAACAAATAAGAAACTTCTGCATCAGGGCCACCAAGATGAAAACGTGACAAAGTCATGGTCTCATGGACCCCATGTCATGATAGGGCTGTTTTAACAACCTGGGTACGGTAAAGTCGCCATGGAAGGATCCGTTGTTCGATGAAAGCTCGTAGCCTTAATTAACTGGATTGTTTCGAGATTGACAAAAACAGGTAATAGTACTCTAATGCTGAGTCTGACTCTGAAAGCAAGGTACTGCAAGAGCCAGAAGAGCTTGAGGTTTGGTAAATGGACTGAAAGTCACATAGGAGAAGAGAGAAAAAACAATCCAGTTATGCAAAGTCGTTCTCAAAAAGTTATGCAAAGTCCATGATGAAGAAACTCTCTCCCTCTTGTAATGAAACAAGAACACAGAAATGCACACGCACTTTATGATACCATGTTTAGACAAAAAGAACTGCCTTTTTTTGTTTTTTTTTCCATTCATGTGACACCTATCTACAAGCAAAGACTGAAACTTGGACTCATTCAACCATATAGCCTGATGACACATACTACTTGGGACAACATGTTACACTTCCAGTTTCAGAGACAGTTCAGGAACAAATCAAACAACAAACATATCAAGCACATAATGGCCCCCTTCTTCCGACGCACTTAGCATCGTCACCACCATGTAAACGAAAGACGCGCAGATTAATCCTTCGCCTCGCCTCGCCTTGTCACATGACAATCTCGGGCTTGAGGATGCTGGACTTGATCTCCTTGTGCGGGAGCACCACGCCGCCGTTGCTGTAGACCTCGTCGCAGACGTGCACGTCCTCGCCGAGGATGGTCATGTTCTCGACGCGCGCCCACATGCCGACGGTGGAGTGCCACCCGATGATGCTGCTGGAGATGCACGCGTGCTTCTTGACGCGGGCGCCGCGCATCACCGTGCACCGGGACAGCCTCACCCCGGCCTCCACCACGCACCCGGGGCCAACGGCGACGTCCGGCCCGATCAGGCAACCCTCGCCGATGACGGCGGTCTCGTGGACGAGCACGTTGCCCAGGACGTGCGCGCCCGACGCGAGCTTGGCGGGCGCCTTCTTCCTAAGCGAGTCGAGGTACAGCCTCAGCCCGGTGATGTAGTCCCTCGGCTGCCCGATGTCCATCCAGAACCCAGGCAGGACCATGGCGAACAGGCCATTGTCCGCGGCGATGCGCGGGAACACCTCCTTCTCGATGGACGTGGGCTTCAGCTCGATGCGGTCCAGCACCGACGGGTTGAGCAGGTAGATGCCGGCGTTGATCTTGTTGCCGACGAACACCTTGGGCTTCTCCACGAAGCGCTCCACCTTGTCGGTCTCATCCTCCATGACCACCACGCCGTACTTGGAAGGCTCGTCAACCTGCATCAAGCAGCAACATTTCTCAGTGCACTGATGGTCTGACACTTTTTCCACGAATGCCAGATTCTTCGGTGTCTCGTGATACCTTGGTGACCATGATCGTGGCCTCGCCGCCATGGGACTTGTGGAACTGGATGAGCTCGGCGAATGGGTACTCGCTGATCACGTCGCTGTTGAGGACGAAGAAAGGGTCGCCGGAGCCGTCAGCGAGCTTGTCGCGTGCCAGGGCCAGCGGCCCGGCGGTTCCGAGTGGCTCTGTCTCCTGCGAGCAGGTGATCTTGATACCAAGCTTGCTCTCGAAGTCCTTGAGAAAGTTAAGCATGACCTATGATTTTGGCAAAGTAAAACAGTGTGCATCAGTAAGATCTCAGCAACCGACAGAAGCACGATGTTCAACAGCGCCCCATGTGCCATGATATGTCAGTTTACCTCGGGCTGGTAATTGATGGCCAGAACAACTTCTGTAACTCCAACTTCTTTCAGAGCTTCGATCTGGTGAGCAGTGCATTGTAAAATCAGTCCAAAGATGCATCGAGAAATGATGTATCAGTGCAAGTAGCAACAAGTCCTTTTTCTTCTGAAAAGAACGACTAAATACCAGTCTGAATCAGATCTTTGATTGGGACATGGAAAAGGTCGAATATTAGTTCACTTCGATAGGAAAATGGAGTACTAATTGTTTACTACTCCCTCCGTCCTAAAATAAGTGCAGTTTTGCACTGTTCATGTTCAACTTTTGACCATTCATCTTATTTAAAAAAATTTTAAGATTAATATTTTTATTGTTATTAGATGATAAAACATGAATAATACTTTATGTGTGACTATTTTTTTTCAATTTTTTTATAAATTTTTCAAATAAGACGAACGGTCAAACGTCGGACACGGTTCCCTACGACTGCACTTATTTTGGGACGGATGTAATATCAATTTGTCACAACTATTTATGACTAGAATGAACAAATTCAGTGATGCAAATAGATGCTACTGTTGTGAGGAATCAACTCATATGGATCGATCCATCATAAGAGACATGACTAGAGTGTGAGGCCAATAACATCAACTGTCTACATCTTATCCCCAACTCGGGTAATGGAACAAACTGACATTTTTCATCTTGCATTACCATTTCCCCAAATAAGTTCTCCATAACTACTCTATTGTCATGCCTGACGAACTGAAAAGACTGTATTGTGAGATAAAAAGATTGGAGTATTTGTGCTGACCTGATGCAGGATCATGGGCTTGTTCCCGAAATCGACGAGCGGCTTTGGCACGCTGAGAGTCAGCGGCCGCAGGCGAGTGCCGAAGCCTCCCACGAGAATGAGCGCCTTCATGGTCGCAGCCCTGCTAACTCAGCTCCTCCTCACCCTGCGAAAAATGCAGCAAGCAGCATAAGAACGATGAGACGATCTGATCTGATCTAATCCAGAACCCGCTTAATGCCCGCGTGATCACGGAGGCCACAGTGCGGGAGTCGGGACATGCCCCTGAACTCCAAGACCCATCCGCCCTGTCTAGTACGCAGATGCCATGTGTGATGTGTCCCAGGACAGCACCCATGTCATGGCATCTGCGCCGCTGCAGCCGCTGCAGAAGCGGCAGAATTCTGAAAGTACAGGTAGCAAGAACGCGATACGCGTGCGTATACAGTAGAAATCGGACTGAAAGACGGCATTGGGATAAGGATCGGCGACCTGATCGGCTGATCTCTCCAAACCCCGTGCGGAAAAAGAGGGGAGATGGAGAGGGAATGATGATCTCTCTTGATCGGGTAGGTAACGAGGAAGACGGCAAATTGCAGGCGTCAGGAGAGATATGGCGGCCCGCCTCCTAATCTATCCATCCACCTAACCTTGCCGATGAACGCGTCGTTGTCCGCTTGTATTGAACCACTCTGCTTCCCACCGAAAAACCAACCTGCTAGCCAATAATAGATCTCGAGCCAGCACGAAGAGACGACTCTATCTATCTCTCCTGTATGACTTTTGTGGGGTTCTTCTCCATGGCTGGATCCATGATGAGGAGAGACGAGATAGAGATGACGGAGTGGTCGCGGCCATCGAGCACCCACGCCGCGCCGCGCCGGCACGCCCCCACCCTCCGACCGGGACACGCGAGAGAAGGACGAGAAAAAGGGAAAAAAAAAACGAAGGAGGGGAGCGAAATTAAGGAGAAAGGAATGAGCGGTGGGGCTACCACCCATTGCAGATCTGGGTGCTGGCCTTCTCTGCCGCTCTGCTAGCTCTTGTCTGTGGGCGCTGCCTGCGCGCGCCGCGGCAAGAAAGATCTCGCCTTTCTCGATCTCTACCAACGGAATTGCCATTCGCATCCCATATTCCCATTGCTAACTCTAACGGCACGAGCACGGAACAGGTGTCATGGTGACTCGACATCGATAAGCTACGAACAGAGATGCATAGCAAGTAAAAAACAGAGCAGAGACTCGGGCGTGGTGTACGCACCTTGAGGCAGCCGAAGAACTTGCGCCGAGCAGAGGAGAGCGGGCGTGCCGGGGTGGCGGGAATTGAGAAAGAAGAAGTCAGAGAAAGAGAGAGAGAGAGAGAGGGGGGAAGATGATTGATGACGAGGAAGAAGACAGCGTCGGCCGCGTCGCAGAGCGGCTGCCAGCGACGCGGGCGCTCTTTGTACTAGTAGCACTGCTTTGCCTTCACCCGCCTCCGATGGCCTCTCTCCCCTCCAGCAGATGCATGAAGTTGACGTGTTTAACACAAGTTTCGATCCTAATCAATCCCTGCGAGGTTGCGACCTGCCATCTCATCTCTTTCCTTCTTCCTTTTATCTCTTCTTTATTATGTCATCTTTTTGTTTTTTACCACTGGATTTGCTGTCCCGGCTTAATCACAGCCCATTTGTTTATCCATAACAATAATTAAACAACAGGTGGCCCACCAGCTCCTGTACAGTGTGTGTATGACATGCGGGCCACCAGGTATCAGGTGTCACCCCTTCATCCAACACATGTTTTGCCATGATAACTTTATCGTGAGCACTGTGCTTTTGTGTTAGTAAAGAACCGGATAATCGGTAAAGGCGACGGTTAGCGTTAGTACTTGGTTTTTAGGCGCGTTTTTGGGCGGATGGCACGGTGGAAGAAGGCTCCTCCGACGATGGCGAGACGACCGGGCGGGAGACGACTTGACGTGGCTTCTCCGCTTTTCTCCTCGCCGCCGCGCGTGGTTTCGACGTGTTTTGGTGGGCGGGGCTTGGCTCCATGGCCAGTGGGCCAGCCGCCACATTTCTCGGTGGCACGCCAACCCCGTCAAGCCGAGAGATCATCTGGCACATGGCCTTTTGCCCCTTTTTTTTCTCATTTTTTTCTGAATCAAATTTAGACGTTTTATACATTGTTGGTAGGTACTACAAGCCTATAAGGGCACGAACAGGTCGTTCACCTCTACTCGTATGGAGTAGCCAGGCCAACATCAGGACCAAAGATCTCAGAACTTGACACCGTTTCCTAGGTCAACGAACGGGTACCGTCCCATTGTAAAAAAGCACGATCTTTTCTTCATGTGCTAGTGCTACTACATGTTTGACCTGGCTAGCTTCAGCGGTTGATGCATTCTTCAACTTGTACAATTGGAAGCAATATTGCACAGAGCTCAATAATTTCTTACGCTACACAAACCACTAATGCAGCAAATGCTTATGATGTTCATGTACCTGCTTGTTGTACATTTGTGCATCTGCCCACTTCTGTTGAAAATGAACTGTCCATCTGCCTTTGAGTGGGAGTACGGAATGAATTGCCACAGAATCACACAAGCGCGCCCTCCTTTAAGTGGTACACAAATAAATCATGCTGCAGCTGGATCATGTCAAAAAGAGAACAATGCAGTAAATAGAGTTACCTGTAAATTAACGCTTTTAGAGTATGTTCAGATTGATGGCATTTCTAACTATACCTTTTTTTTTATAAAGTTGTTAAAGATGTGTTTGCATTTAGTTTTTAGCCAAATTTTGATAACGCATAAGAAATCCTGTCAAAAATTTGATATTAATAAATTTTGATAAGATTTATTTTAGCTACAATCTGAACAACCATTTAGTTATCGACGTTCCAAGTACCAGCTATATACTGTATGCAACAGCAGTACTCCAAAATGGAAGAACGCATCGTTCATTCGTATTAGCTGTCTTAATTCTGACAAGACCTGAATAACTAATCTAGTACTATTGCATAATACCAGGAGTACTTGATTTAAGCTCTGATTTCGGCCTGGATCATGATTTAAGCGCTGATTAAAGAATCAAGATTTCCCTGCTTGCAGTACGGAAAATTGAAAGAACTTAATAAATAATACAGAATTAGTTTGTTAATCCCATGATCCTATATCACATCTGTGCAAGTTCATAGTCAGAGTGTCACATGATCTGATTAGATAATATCATAATACCAACCTGATTCAGCCCGAGGTGCAGCAGACAGTGCTGCTTGAGCAATAATCAAGAACGTCACCGACACATCTGAGTTTTGCATCTTCTTGTGCACCTAATGGACTGCACAGCAATCAGGACCAGCATTTAGTGCGCTGATCACAAGTTAGTAGTACTCCTATCTCGTTTGTTATTGCCGTGTACTAGTGTCTGATTTCTATCAGAGTATCAGTTCATGTGATGATGGTTAAGTGTAAAAATTTCATGTTTCAATACAGAACATTCATGGTGCGCATTCTAGATTTATACGTAGGCCTCATCGACAGTGCTATCAAGTCTCAATCATCCTGTTCGATTTTCATTCTGGGGGAAGTTCAGCTTGTCCATTAGCTAGGTGAAAACACTGAGGCCTTCTTAATTTGTCGGTTGGGCTGTCGGTTGATACTCCTGGCAACATAAGAGTAATGTAATGTATGATGACCTGTCAATCTGTTCATATGTATATTTCGGTTGTTGTTGAATACCGTTTGTATATTGTAGTCATGTACATTGTTTATCTGATCCGTGCAACTTGCAACTTGTGAGTTGTCATTTTGTCAGAGTTTCTATCTTTCGTGATGGCCGATGGGAGAGTAAGAAGCAAATTCAGCTGGATGATAATGGCACTATAGTCTTCAGTCGATAAATTGCTCCTCCAAATTTTCCGAGCTCCTTTGCCTCAATTTTCTTTTCTGAGCTCTTCATGGTTCAGCACTTATTCGATCTAAACATTCAGATCTCCTTTTCTTTTTAGCACAATTCAGACGTGTGAACTAAATTTTTGTTAGGTAATATACACACAGCATATACGCATGACATATCTAACTTTTTTTAAATGAACCACTCAATATAGTGCAATGTTTCATATTGATACAACAGAAGAAAATTCTAGGACCATAGCCCTAGGAGGCTATAATCAAGAAAAAAACACAGCCACACAACATGCCTACAACAAAAATAACTCCATGAGGGTAAAACGGGAGTACAACGACTCAACTACACGTGGCTCAATCCATGTCTTTGGATTGGAGAGGGAGAGGGCGAGCGAAAAGATGGATCCGTCCGCCCCCACACAAAATCTTACATACACCTAAGAATTACTGGAGGCACCAAAGAACTCCCGGGTAGAGATTGGCAGTGTGGCACCCTCCAATCCTCCATCATAAGTACCATGCATAATCATATACTCCCTCTATCTCAAAAACTATGACAACCTATTTACCTTGGTCCCAAAAGGAAATTACTATGCATACAATCTAATTGTTCGACTCACATACGATTGCATTTAATCAATGGTTGTAAACAGTTACAGTGCATATGAAACATGCTCTCCTTTGATTGATCTATAGTTGCATATCTCTAATTATACATGAGTTGTACAACTGGGTCGTACGTACAGTAGTACTCGTCCCAAAATTGATTCAAAATTTATCATAAAATACTTATCACTCTAAAGTGTTGCTTGTCCCGTCTATCATCTTTCATTTAAACTTTTTCCTATTCTACTCTCAACCATCACTCCACTTCCAACCATACATCATTCTAATAAGGGACTATTATCTTTTTTTTTCTTAAACCTTAATATATATGCTAAACTATCTAAAATAATAAATATTTGAGGACGGAAGAAGTATATTGGATTCGACATGCCATAATACTACAAATTTGGATTGTCAATCCAGTACTACGATTCTGGACAAAGGTACTACGAATATGGACAGCCCCACAATCGAATTTGTTCAAATTTATAATCTACAATATATATAATTTATTACTAGGTTATTATATTTTAGGATAAGTGTGTGGTAGGTCTTAGTTCCAATTTACTTGGCCAAATTTCTTGAGGGGACCAGACAATCGAACAATGAAAAAAAGGGCCCAGTTGTTTTCAGATCCATAATTTTGGGGGCGCCTTAAACAAATGGGCCCTTTTTGACCAATCATGATCGAGAATAGTCATTTTCCCCTACTCGATCGCTTTTCCCCAGAACAGGCAGAACTTTACCAAGAAATTTGGAAGGAAGATCTATATGGTTTGCCGGTTGCACATGGAGCGCAATCCCCACAAAGAAGCCAGTAAACAACCTTCACGCAGTATATTTTCCCTTTTGGAAAGACCAAACCAAGAAGCTGAAAGAACAGAGGTGAAAGACAAACACATTACACGCACAAACTCGCGTTGTAAGCAGCGCAAAAGTCGAAAGACAATTCACGAAATCCGAAGAGCGTGCTCCGTCTGCCGTCCATTCACGACCGAGCGGACGGGCGGTGATGGCGAGGGGACAGTGTGCCGTTGCCGGCTGCCACTGCTGCCGGCAGCCAACGCGGCGAGTGTACCGTGACTACTGCCCCGCCGAGAAACGGCGCATCCACGGTTGTGGCGGGCCGGGAGTAGGTTCCGGAGTCGCAGGTGGCGAGCCTCTTGTACGCGGTGGCCGCCGCCGCCGGATCGTCGTTCAGGAACGGGTTGCCGATGGCGCGGTGGCCGTCCCTCTTGTGCACGATCGCCCTGTACACGAACGGCAGGAGCCCTTCCATTACTCCGTTGATCGGTTTCAGATTTCAGATCAGGTGTGCATCGTGCACGTCTCGTACGTGGGCGAAGCAGCGTTTATAGCGCTTCGCGGTTGCGGTTTAGGAAGTCGGCGCCGTGAAACACAGCTTGCGTGAAGAAGCAGCGGGTTGGTACAGCAGTGGCAACCCATTGTCACAGTTGGGAGATTTTTATGGTTCCAGATCGATGCAAGTACTGTGCCAGTGATGACAGCTTTACAAAGGGCTTACTGAAAATACTATAGTACTCGATTTTATCCTTTTTTTCCCCAGCTGCAAGGGCTAGATCCTTTGAATGCTCAGGTCAAAGAAATCTAACTCTTCCAGCTGATGCTCTTGCATTCAGTCCGGACCAATTCAGTCCAAACGGAGACGAGGGACGCACCACTCGATAGTGCTCGCCATGTCGCTGCGGAGCAGCGTGTGCAAGATATAGGTGGTGTTTGAATCTCCTAATAATAAAGATGAAGTGTTTCACGTAAAACGAGGTGATAGTAACGTGTGATTAATTAAGTTTTAACTATTATAAACTTAAAAAATTGATTAATCTGATATTTTATAACAACTTTCATATAAGTTTTCGCGTGAAACACGCCGTTTAACAGTTTGAAAAACGTGCCACTTTAATCCAAAACTTGAAAAGCAGTTCGAACGGTGCATACTACCCCATCACCAATGCTACAAGACACAAGGTACATGACTGTCGTAGGCGGACTAGTTTTTGCTGAGCATCAAGGATTCAAGAGATTGATCTGCAGAAAAATTACCATGTTGGTGTTGGAGAAGATCATAGCATATGATACGTCTAAATCTGACAGCCCAACTTCCCCCCAAAATAGGAATAAGTTCACTTTGTGACGAGAATCTAATCCGTTATCAAAAACTACAAAATACGGATATCTCGATCCCCCAACTCTTGAAACCGGTACAATTTGACTTCCTCGACGGTTTTGAAGGGCGGTTTCACTGACATGACGCCTACGTGGCGATGTTGACTTAGTCTTCGGTCCACGTGGAGTTAGACGTGGTGCTTATGTGTTCTAGAATTAAAAAAATATGTGCGGTACCTATTTGTCATTCACACCAAAACAATGTGGGACCCACTGACATGTGGGGCCCACATGTCATTCATGTTTCCTTCTTCCTCTTCCTCCTCCCTTTCTCTCCCTTCTCTCTCTCTCCCATATCTCTTCGTCTTCGTCTGCAGGCGGCGGCGGGCGCTCAAGGGTCCAAGCGGCCGCGGCGGTGAGCGGGAGGAGAGGCAGCAACCCGGCGGCGGCTCGGCGGCATCAGCGACGTAGACGAAAGAGGGAGCCACGAAGGACTCGAGGAAGGAGAAGAGCAAGACCAATTCGTCCTCCAAAGGCTCGCTGCCGCCGCCGTCCCCGACGCGACGACGAGGCCCACTATGGTGGCCACGGTCGCCGCATTCCTTGAGTCCAGCAACTTCCCCCGCGTGCTCACGACGCTCCAGTCTGAGGCCAAGCTCGAGTTTATGGCGCTATTGGCTCGTGCTGTGCCTTGCCATTTTGGGCACGCCGTGAAATGAGAGGATTTCACATGTTCGTAGGTTGATTCATGGCGGGCATCGCCGGTGAGCCTGGAAGAGTTGATTTCCATATTCTTGGACTCGAGGTACTTAGAATCAACGACGCGATGCTCAATCTCGTTAAGTAGCTTTCACTGGTAATCCATATCTTGTGCCATAATTGGTTTTTCATTGGAATTTGGTTGTGGAATGCAGCAATTCTCCCTGTGGGTCGCACGCCTCTGCTGCCGCCGAGCTGCCACCGGATCGCCGCCTCCCTTCCTGCTCGCCACTGCGGCCGCTTGGACCCTCGAGCGCTTGCCGCCGCCTGCAGACAAGACGAAGAGAAATGGGAGAAAGAGAAAGAGAGAGAAGGGAGAAAAAGGGAGGAAGGAAACAGGAATGACATGCGGGCTCCACATATCAGTGGGTCTCACATTATTTTGGTGTGAATGACAAATGGACCCGCACATATTTTTTTTAATTCTATAACACATAAGCGCCACGTCAACTCCACGTGGACCGCAGACTGAGTCAACATCGCTACGTAGACGCCATGTCAGCGAAACCGCCCTCCAAAACCGCCGAGGGAGTCAAATTGTACCGGTTTTAAGAGTTGGGGGTCGAGATATTCGGTTTTGTGGTTTAGGGTCACGGATTATATTTCGATCACTTTCGAGGGTCACATAGTGAACTTATTCCCCCAAAATATAATCTGACAGCCCATGGACGGCCTAACAATATGTGAACAGTAAACTTCTATCTTGGGCCTTCGAGGCCTCATGAGATGGACCAACTATTTCGGCCCCGTTGAACGACTCATGACGGGGACAAATGCCCTGTCATACTCATGCTCCAGCAATCCTGTAACGAGAATACTACCCCAGTTGGATTCGCAGGACCGCCCAATTATGTCGCGAGATCCCAACGCGAATGACTCGCTACTCACCGAGTCGCCATCCCAGTGCGAAGGCTTATCACCATTTTTTTTGGCCTTCGTTGAGGTCGAACCGATTCTGCTGTCTACCCAAAGCCATTATCCCTTTCCCCCAATAAAGGGGCTACTTTTTGCTACGTTTTTATTTGCTCTTCTCATCGCTGTCAAAACGACGAGTGGAACAGAGTTGAGATCAGAATGTTGAATGCCGAGCTGGGTTGCAAGTGACCTCTGACGTGCTTTGCATGGTGCGAAAGCTCTCGGTTTGGCATCTCTGGTTCTGCGGCCTGAGTAGTTTGCCGCTGCACCGCAGATAACGCTAGCTTTGCTCGTTTTTGTGCTCTTTTTTTTTTCCTGAACTTCTGAAGGCGTGTGCAATGACAGCAGGGCAGGTGGACAGGGTACCAGACTTGCAGTGTAAGAGTAAGGTTAGGAGCGTGTATATGCTTATTATTGTGGCTGATCTGGGAGAGTTACGCAAGCACTCGTGTTTCACGGGGAACGAATTGTAGAGTCCACGCCGCGAAGCAAAGTGGGGCGAGAAACGTAGGATGCGTCCTTGGGTTTCTAATGCTTCTGAAACTAACTGCTCCGGCTTTGACAGACTGACGGGTGAATTCTCTGCAGTTTATGCGATTTTTTTTATCGGAATTTTGGTTAGTTCAATACTATGAAGGATCAAGTATGGATGGTTAATGCTGCACTTTCGTGCACTTTCTTGAACCGCGCATTACTTCCGACATGTTCCTGTTTCCAAATTAGGGATGCTTTGGAGTTCTCCTCGTATAGCCGACCATGGTGGGTTGGGCAAAACCATGTTATTTTACTTTGACTATATTCATAAACTATTTGCATTTGATTTCCAACACGGAAAGCATTAGGGGAGGTAAAAGCCAAAAGGCCCCGGGACGATCCAGCAGGCAGGAGCCAGGTTACACTGCGCGACCTGTGTGTAACACACGACGACGACACAGCTACCTTCCACTAGAGGGACGAAAAGTACAGCATCGGCATCGTCAGAAAGAGATAGAGGAAGAAAAAAAAAAGGAAGAACGAATAGAACCGAAAAGTCCCAGCCGAGGACGGCCCCCTTACGTGGCGCGAGATGATAAATGCCGTCCCAATCAAACAATGCACAATCCGGAGAGAGAATCTTCGATGCGATCGTAGCCATATCGGCCAAACAGAGGACCACGCGACAGATGGCATTCGGCTTCCTGAAAACGTGATTTCATTTCACCCATCTTTTCTTTTCTTTTTCATTTTTCTCTCCTGTGTTCGCCTGCTCGTCAAGTCGTCGTAGCACGGCTGCGTGCCTCGTGTCCACTATTAGTTTGGTTGCTAATCTTAGGCTCGCGTGTTTGTTGACTCACACCACTGCACGGTTCACCCACCAGCAAGGACTTTTCAGCGACCACGAAAGCCCGCATCATGATCATCAAATAGGGGAACACGACACCAACGACACTATGATAATGATACGTTTTTTGAGTTTAGCGTGCGAAAAGCACACGTATATTGTATGTGTGTTGAAGCCTATGTGTTCTACCCGTTCCAAACTGAATTTAAAATCGGAGCTTTTCGGAAACGGCAAGAAGAGAGGAACATCTGTGGGGTGTTATTAATTGACTAATCGAGACGGCACAAGCGATTCGGTTGCCCAACACGTCTAATACGTTTGCACAATCATCAGGATGAACGGAAATAATTTAACTATAAACGCATGAACACAGCAGTGTGTCGCAATCTAGTAATCTAGTCAGAGCAAAGTAGGAACTTCTTTATATTTCCACGAGCAAAGGGGACACTCAATTATACTACAATTTCTCTGACGCTTGAGGAAGTTTCTCTTCAAACATCGGAAACACATGAGCTTTTTTTGCTGAAATAAGGAGCGGGCTGATCTGTCTGACGAGATCACAAACGCCCAAAGAAAGGAAGTGAACGAAATAATGCTATAATAATCTGCAATTATATGCTTTGAGGATGCCACATTCTGTTTGATCACATAATTCGGAACGTTCTGTTTGATCACGGCTTCGTCCAGGTGAATTCGAGTTAGAGATGGCCAGGAAACCGAGAGGAGTAGTATGTCTGATGGATCCACTTGTCACAATTTCCGGCGCCTGAGATTTACGACGACGACGCTGACATTGTCCGAGGTTTGCCGCGCCAAAGCCAGCTTGGTCAGCAGGACGGCCGCCTCGGCGCACGCCTTGTCCTCCTCGGCGGCGCTCTCCTCGTCGCTCTCCGAGCCAGCGGCGGCGGAAGGAGCACCGTCGTTGGGCGCCTCGTCGCCGCTGCTGCTGCTCTGCCTCGGGCTTAGGTTGGACGTCGGGCTCGACCGGTTCCTCTCGCGCCGCCCGCTGCTCCGCAGGCAGGCGCGCACGACGTTGCAGGCAACCTCGTTGCTCACCACGTCCCACAGGCCGTCGCTGGCCAGGATGAGGAACTCGTCCTCGCCGTCCTTCCTCTCCATCACCCTCACCTCCGGGTCGCATATCACGTACGGCTTCAAATAGCTGTCCCCTGCAATGGCGCATCCATGTAAACAGTCAGCACATGGCGCTTGTTTCTTTTGTGTCATAGCGAGAGATTTTCAAAAGTACTAGAGTAGAGAGCTCACCGATGGCTCGTGACATGGCGAGCATGCCAAAGACGCGGGCGCCGTCCCAGAAGATGACGCGCCCTCCCGCCGCGTGGATCCGTTCGAGCTCGTCGGGCCGGTCCGGCTGAATCGATCAGAGCAGATACGTTTAGAGCAACGCGATTAAAGTAAGAAAAACTTAGATTTTTTTTGGTTGACCATGTGTACGCACACATCCCCATACCTTATGGTCGCATGAGAGGGGTATGGCGGCGCCACCGCGGCAGAGGACGGCGCGCGAGTCGCCGCAGTTGGCGACGACGACGTGGCGAGGGCCCAGAACGGCGACGACGGCCGTTGAGCCGACGTGGTCGCACTTGGGCAGCTGCATCTCGCACCGGCAGGTGGGGGCCGGGGCGACGCTCCCCCGTGACGAGGCCACGGCCTCCGCGTCCATCCGCGCGAAGCTCCTCTCCATGACGCCCCTCCACCGCGCCTCCTCGTCCAACCCCGCCGACCCAGCGGCGGCGCCGGCCTCGTCGACCACGATCTCGTGCATCCGCTGCCCGCACGACGTCGCCACCTGCATGCACATGCAAACCATTCCAATAAGTACTACTCTCCGAGTCAAAACCGCCGCACATGCGCGCGCCGCGCGTTTCGGCGCATAGATCTATTGACACCATCAAAAAGGTGTTCGATTAAACAACTCGAGCAAAGAGAGCAAGGCACGCACATGAGAGCAGCCGTGGCCGTCGAACACCCCGAAGAAGTGGTGGCCGGGGAGGAACCCCGGGCAGGCGGAGACGGAGTCCTCCATGTCCCTCCGGCGTCCGCACACCGACGTAAAGCCGTACCTAGCGCGCTCCACCTCCCTGTCCTCCTCGTCCGTCGAGGCCTCTCCCCCGCCGCCATCAAGCCTCCGCCTCTTCCCGGAGGTCTCCTCCTCCGCCCCACGCTCCGCGACCACCCTGAGCCGCCGGATCTCCATCCGCCGCCGCCTCGCCGCTCGGCTCCCGGTGTCGCACTCCGGGCCCTTCCCCTCCGACGACGATCCAGCCACAACCTCGCAGCAAATCTCCGCCATGAACTAACAAAATCTCCGAAAGATCCCTTGCAACAGAGGGAGAGAAGGTGGGAGCTCCTCTGCTCAGCTCAGCTCAGCTCGTCAAGCAAGAAATGTTTTCTCTCCTCGAAGCGGTGAGAGCGATTGAGAAGAGGTGATGGCAAGTAGCGGCCGGCGATATAAAAGTGGGTGGGGGAAGGGGTGGGGGTGGGAGAGGCGACGTGCCACGCGGCGGGCGCGGGCCACACGTACAGTTGTGTGATCGCGCCGGGGGCCGTTGGATGCGGCTCCACGTGACGCGCGCCCGTGGCCGGTACGTGCCGCCCGGACGCGTGTCGAGGCTGGGACGCGTCCACCGGGCGGTCGCGAGCTGGGAGGCTTCACCGCGCGCCACGAGTTGGGCGAGGCGCTAGTAGCCGCGGCGGTGTTTGCTGTTCGGCGCGCGGGATGGGCGGGGCGACACGTAAACGAGGCGAGGCGCGAGCGAGCCGCGGTTCGGTTCACTCGGCTCGGCTGTGTGCGGGGTGCGGAGGGGGTGGGGGACCGTGTCGACGTGGCCTGAGCGCGGATCCGTGGAGAGATAAGAGTAACCGCAATGGAAAATGGTAAAGTAAGGTGCTCTCTATAAAACATATACATCTTAGCAATAGATTCGATTAATAGGAAACCACATTAATAGTATATCTACATTGGTATCTGTCGGTGACATGGGACCGGGAGTATCATGACTTAGAGACTTGAGGCAGACGCGATCACCCACGTGGCCTAACCCCCTCGGGGGGGTCGGGCCCGAGGGTGATACGGCCGCCCTTCTCTTTGTCTCCCCGAGGGGTCGGGCTGCACCCGGGGCCGAGGCGCCCCGACCCCTCGTGGGTTTTTTGCTCCGCGTGTATGGGTTAGGTGAGCACAGTGGGGCTCACCTAACCACATTTATTGCGGTTTGGCTGAGCGTGTCACGCCGCATGTAACGCAGTGCAGTGCACTCATTTATCCGGTCTGTGACCAGTCACAGACCGGTCAGATCGCGGGTTAGGTGGCGACAGGCGGTCTGACGCACGCCTCGCCCCATCCCGTCAGGACGAGGGCTTCTAGGCGCTCGTCCCCAGCTGGAGCTAGCGTGTTACCTCCCAGAGATGGCACGTTAGTCCTGGTCAGATATATGCCAGGCTTCACCCTAACCATTACAGGCAAGATGTTGTGTGAAGAAGGGCCAACGTGCAGATTGCTGAGCTGACGCGTGGTGGACAAGAATGACCGATTTGTGACCAGTCTGACACCGGTCATGTCGTCAGCAGACAGCCATGATTCCGCGTCGCGCCTGCTCCCGGCGAAAGTGGAGGTAGGTGCGGGCCGTCCCATCAGAAGGTGACTCGAACGGCAACCATGCAAATCTCCGTCCATTTATGAAAAGGTAGGGTAAGTCCCCACAGAGAGGGAAAAATGGTGCATGTGGTATCCCCTTAAGATATAAAAGGAGGACCTTGCCCACTTAGAAGGGATGATTTTTTGGGGGGGACTTTTCCAGATTGGGAACCTAGAACGAGGGAGAGGCTGGCTCATACTTTGTAGCTCCTTCATACACAGATCTCCCAAAACACAGGAGTAGGGTATTACGCTTCTCAGCGGCCCGAACCTGTATACATCGCCGGCGTCTTGTGTGCTTCCTGTCTCGCGAACCTTCCACAGATTGGGAGCTTAGAGTCTCACCCAGGGTCCCCGGCCGAACCGGCAAAGGGGGGCCTGCGCGGTCTCCCGGTGAGGAGCCCCACGCTCCGTCATCTGGCGCGCCAGGTAGGGGACTCTGCGAGTGATCTTCTGAGCTCTCGCACTCCTTCGTGTGCGCCAAGCTTTTCCTGTTCAGCCCAATGGCCGAGCCAGCAAAGGCGCGCGACCTCTCCCCGAGTATGAGCGGTGACGACGGGGAGCCAAACCCACGCCGTCGAGCTCGTACTCCACCGCCCCCTCCACGCCAAAGTCCTAGGCGGGAAAAGGCGCTCGAGAGGGCTGAAGGATCCGCGACTTCGACATCCACAGGAGGTGAAGAAGGGCGGCGAGATGGGGAGCGTCGTCTCCTCGTCTACCGCGACGGCAGCACGCCCCAGGGCGCGCTCCAAGCTGCAGGCGCGCTCCTACGTCACCCGCCCGTCGCCCATGACCCGGAGTCTCCAGCCCAACGTTGGCTGGACGATGTGGCCAAATTGGTCATGACTGCAAGGCAGCGCCTAGATGCTGGTGGGCGGTCCTCCGCCACCAAGGCCTCTGGTGCTGCTACCACCGGCTCCGCGTCGTCAAGACGAAGGGCACGACGAGCGGCAGCCGCTGTTCGCCATTCGGCCGCCACTCCTACGTCGACTCCTTCGACCCGGGAAGATCTGCGTGGGGGGCCGGACGCCCGCACCAGCATCGAGCGCCGGCGTAATGACCGACGTGCTGCCCACACAACGGAGGGCGCTTCCTCGTCCAGAGTGTCACCTCACCACGGACGCGGGGATCAGCCCTCCGTGCCCCCGGTTGGTGGTGTCGGCTGTAGAGCCTTTGTGGCGAGCCTTCGGAATGTCCGTTGGCCCCCAAGGTTCCGGCCCACCATCGCCGAAAAATATGATGGAGCGTCAACCCCGCCGAGTTTCTCCAGGTCTACACGACCGGGATCGAGGCCGCCGGGGGTGACGACAGGGTCATGGCGAATTTCTTTCCCATGGCCCTGAAGGGACAGGCACGGGGTTGGCTAATGAACTTGCCACCCGCGTCTGTCCACTCTTGGGAGGATTTGTGCCAACAGTTCACCATGAACTTCCAAGGCACATATCCGCGCCCCGGTGAGGAAGCGGACTTGCACGCAGTACAGCGAAGGGACGATGAGTCACTTCGATCGTACATTCAGCGGTTCTGTCAAGTCCGCAACACCATACCATGCATCCCTGCACACGCGGTAATCTACGCGTTCAGGGAGGGCGTGCGGCACAACCGCATGCTCGAAAAGATCGCCTCCAAGGAGCCCCAGACTACCGCGGAGCTTTTTCAGCTCGCGGACTGAGTGGCTCGCAAGGAGGAGGCCTGGACTTGGAACCCCTCCGATTCCGGTGTGGCAGCTTCGGCCGTCCCCGGGTCCGCCGCTCGGTCAGGGCGGCGGGACAGGAGGAGGAAGAAGAGGTCGGCCCATTCCGACGACGAGGGTCATGTCCTCGCCGTCGAAGGCGTTTCGCTGGCCACCCGAAAGGGGAGGCCTGCGAGCGACAAAAAGAAGGAAGCCGACGCTCCCTGACCTCGGCTACTTGGAAGAGCGAAGGTGGCGCGCGGCCCTTCGAGCCGCGCGCTACCAGCAGAGCCTGCGACGCTACCATCAGCGCCACGTCCGGGCCCGATCACTCTGCGTCGACGACCTCGTCCTACGCCGTGTCCAAACGCGTGCTGGACTGAGCAAACTCTCACCAATGTGGGAGGGTCCATATCGAGTGATCGGCGTCCCCCGGCCGGGCTCCGTTCGGCTGGCCACGGGTGACGGCACAGAGCTGCCTAACCCGTGGAACATCGAACACCTTCGTCGCTTCTACCCCTAAAGGGGGATCGGGTGTCAGGTTTCGGACTCGGGCCAACCCCGCACCCCCCTCGGGCGTGCAGGGTTGGCCGGGGCCTTTTCTTTTTTTTCTCTTCCGTATTTCAATAAAAGCATTTTCGATTTCCTAAAGGCTGTATCTGTGCTGTTGTTTCCTTTTGAAGAATCTTGACTTGAAATAGGTCACTCGTGTTCAATCCTGCCCTCGGGGGCTCGGGTCGGCTAAAATCGCCAAACGGGGCCCAGAACCGAGCCGTGCCCCAGGGCGTGGTGAACTCCGGGGGGGAATCGGCAAAAACCCACAATCGGGTCACCCATAACCCTCGGTCACCACGTTCCCGGCCTGGCCAGTCTCGACATGTGGATCTCCCCAGGCACTAGCCCCGACCCGAGCCATTTGAGGACTAGGACCAGGGCACGAGCCCTTGTTCAAACCAAGACACAAAAGGACCGCGGCACAGGCATCCTCGTCTCATACACACAACAAATAGAATTGACACAAAAAATTTCCTCTTTATTTGATTGCAGATTAAATCAGCCTATAACAAGAAGGGGGCCCGAAGGCCTCGGAAGAAGAAGGAAAAGCTATTAAGATTGGCGGAGGCCTGGGGGCTCACTCCGACGCGCCCGGGTAGCCGGCCTCGCCGTCGCTGTCGTCCGCACCGTTGTCACCGCACTCCTCGTCGGAGTTGAAGGCAAACGCGAGCCGAGGGGCCGCTCATTATTGTCGGTCGGTTTTCCCTTGCTGATACGCGCGATTTGCGACCGCCGGGATTCTGCCCGAAGAAAGAGAGAGCAGGGAGGAGAGGCCCCCGAGCCGAACGGCGGCCCAAGGCCCCCGACGGCCGGAGCTGGCCCTCCGCCTGCTTGTCCGATGGTGCCAGGCGCCCCCGACCCCCAGGACGGCCCCGAGGCCACTGTGGGAAGGCCGCCCCTGTCGTCCTCCGACCCCGAGGTCATCGGCACAGAAGACGAGTGCGCCCCGCGAGGCCGCTTGGGTGAAGAGCGCCCCAGGGATGCGGCCCCTAGCGAAGAGGATCGGCCCCACCGAAAGGTGCAGCGGCCCGTCTACTTTGTTAGTGAGGCCCTCCGGGATGCCAAGACCCGATACCCTCAGGCCCAGAAAATGCTTTACGCTATTCTGATAACTTCGAGGAAGTTGCGCCATTATTTCCAGGCGCATCGGGTCACGGTGGTTACGTCTTATCCCCTCGGCCAAATCTTATATAACCGAGAGGGTACTGGACGGGTGGTGAAATGGGCAATCGAACTCTCTGAATTCGATTTGCGCTTTGAACCAAGCCACGCGATCAAGAGCCAGGCCCTCGCCGACTTTGTGGCGGAGTGGACCCCAGCTCCCGAGCTCGTCTCCGCCCCCGAGGCCAGCTCGAGCCCATAGCAGCTGCCTCACACCGCCCTCTGGGTGATGTAGTTCGACGGCACCTGCAGGAACCGGCCCCACCTGTCACCAGGCCTTAGAAGTGGCGTCACGCCCGACCGCTTCCCTCGAGGAGGGCGATCGCCCTGGCATAACGCCGGGGGCTACTGTCGGTGACATGGGACCGGGAGTATCATGACTTAGAGACTTGAGGCAGACG